ATAAAGACATGTACAACAAATAATGAGTGTACACAGTCAAAAAATTATTATTAGAAAATGATATAAGAGTTTTAAACCAAATGTCACCATCCTGAAATCATTATAAATAATAATTACAAGTACCAGTATACAGGTACATGTATACGACTATATGATAATTATTACCATCTAGAGATATGATGATGAGCTCTTGGAGGAAAATCACTTGATAAATCCATCATATGTACCATCCTAATCTATAGCAAACCACACCCATTATAAACCACACCCACTACCACCAATCACCGCACCTGATTGTTTCGGTATCAGTCGTTTCTTCTCCCCAGACACGTAGTCTCGCGTAGCCAGACCCATCCCCCTTTTTGACATTTGGTCCAAATGTCAAAAAGGGGGATGGGTCTGGCTACGCAAGACTACAGACACGTGGAGGCTAACAATGAAATTATGTCCAACATAAGAGAGCTTCTCTGACTTCCTGTGCTGTGGCCAATAACCAGAATCTGCCTTTAAGAAGAGATACAGTGACTGAGAGACTGTTCAATGTCTTACTGAATAAGTGGATGCAGTGAGGCCCCACTGTTGGAATATGTCTTCAATGGTGGAGACAAAACTAGAGAATGTTTGATAAATTATATAAAGGAGCTGATACTTACCTTTCCCACTGGGAGGCATTAGTAAAATCTGTTATCTCAAGGAGTTCATCATCAGTTTCATCAGACATTTTGTATTCTAATAATACGAAATTACGAATTACAAAATTATTAAAATGAAATTTTGAACAACTTTTCCTTATTTCCTCCAATAGATCTAGGGTAGAGAGGTCTGTTATGGAACAGTAGGGTATTATGGAACATTGCATCTAAACAAGCCAGAATTGAGTCTTACCTGTAAATAAGAACCTTAATACAACTCTAGTATATTTTTAAGAGTGAGAAACAGTGCAAATGATTTAATAACAATAATAAGACTTATTCATAATTAATTAGAATATACGGTCAAGAGGGCAATGCCGTAACTTGCCTGTACTTGCCAATGGAGATAAACATAAAAAGGCTCCTGCTGTTCCTGTGTAAACTAGACACAGACCAATGAATTATAGTTTCATAATAACTGATTTAAATGAGAAGGATTTGTCTATGTCCATAGCAGCTGTTTTAAAATGCTTTTTGAAGTGTTATAAGCATTTGAGTAAAAATCCAATTTGAGAGGCAATGCAATGAGAAGTTAAATATTTTTCCAGCCTGATGTGTCACTACAATCTAAAACTGTTATACTGACCTAAAATTTATCTTACTTATCTTAGTTTATACAAGAAAACATGTAATTATACAACCACGGTACTATGATCCAGCTGCGCATCAAATCAACGGCAGTGTAGTGGTGGGCGATATATCGATATTTTATCGATACAAACGATATTTTACGGTATCGATTCGTATCGGTATCGAAATTTTGAAGGAATCTGGATCGATACGTTGACCACGCCCATTTATTATGGTTAAATAATATTAATAATTAAAATTTTAATAAGTTAATGACGTATAATACACACACGTGGATACACGTGCATGAAAACATCGATGAAAAACAGTCAATAATAAGGGGTGTGACTCCATAGGTGTGGTCTAAATATCGTATCAAAACTGTATCGATACTCTCGATATGAACTGATATCGATCGGTATCGTATCGAATCCATTTTGGCCAGTATCGCCCACCACTACGGCAGTGCCCTCTTGACCGTATTAATTCCAATATTTATGAATAAGTCTTATTAATTAACACCTATTTAATATTGTTAATTAACGAACCACGTGCGTGCATGAAAACAAAATGTCTGTTGGCAAGGAAGCAAAAGTTTGCTTACAATGGGATATAGAAAGCATGACTAAGGCCGTGGAAGCTGTGAAACTTCACAATAAGGGACTAAGGCAAGCTGCTCGGGAATATGGAGTCCCTGTTACTACTCTTAAAAGGAGAGTTGATGATGAAGTGGCTGTTGACTCCAGACCAGGTCCAGAAACTGTCCTGACCACTCAAGAAGAGAAGAAATTGTTCCAGTATATACTAGACATGGGTGACATGNGCTATGGGCTTACTATAGAGGACGTGAGAACTGTCGCATTTCGAATTGCTGAGAGTTCCGGTAGGAAG